AAGCCCTAACATGACAGGTGGATGGAGTTCACAAGGAAATCATGTCATGGGCCAGTTTTCCAGGAAAGCTGTTAACTCTATTCACAAGCCCAGGCCTTCAGATGGAAAGGGAACGTGGCTGAGAAGAGGCAGTGAAGGGCTGCTCTGCTGTTATTGATGTTTTTGTCACAGATTATTCACTGACATCTCTTGCTGCAGCACAGAAATCTTTACCTCTGCACAGTGCCTACACCTTCAAGAGGAGACTGTGGCTGAATGCCTTTTAACTTAACAAACCATGGGGACACTGCCTCTGCAAATCCCATATGGGCATTCAATGTCAGTCAGGGTGCAAAAGATGGTAAAAGAATCTGCCTTTTGCCGAGCTAAATGCTTCCTGAGAAACAGAAAATAAATATGAGGTGAGGATCTAAGACTGATGTTAACCTGGGGACTTAAAATATTTTATAAGGATGAAACTCAGGATAAAGTCCAGGATGTATCAGAAACAAGACTTACATATTTTTACAGGTCTCAATCAACAAGGCACACTTACTATCTTTCCATTACTCTATGCAGTGTCCAACGTCTGCAGTTGTATGTTCTTCTCTTTCCTCTTTTTCTGTTTTTAAAATGTAGTAATTTTGATATTAGTATAGAAAGCACAGAAGAATAGTTAAGAGGAAAGGCAATCAATGCAAAAGAAGTGTTTTTCGAAATTGCCATGTTTACTACAAATGTAAATTTTAGGATGCACAGAGTCCGGACAATAGGGCTCCAACTGGCTGCTTACAAGAGGAAGGATTAGGTCCTGTGTCATGTTAATAGTGACATCAACAACCTGAATAAAAGCCAAAAATTCAAGTTGATTTTGCAGTTTAAGACCATTGTTCTCCCACATGGTTCAGCCTGTAAGATTTAGTCTACGCACAGATTTCTGCCAGAATTTATAGTTTTCACACCATACAGTGCAGTTCTTGATATGTAATGTACTTCAATATATAAAAGCCCTTCATGACTGGATAATATTTACATTGATATAGCTAAAATGTCATACAAGCTGGAGGCAACAAAGCTATTGGAAATATAAAAGCAAAATGATATTTGTTAATGCTTAGAGGTACTGGTAATATCTATGCAAAATGTGGCGGCCACTATTTTTCTGCTCTTCTTATTTTGCAGCCCATTGTAAAAACAAATTAGGTGAAACCTGCTAATAATATGCATCAACTTCCACCTCAGATACCAAAGGAGCAGTAAGCCTGGATTTGACTCTGGATAAGCAAAGCTGAGGCAGGAACACGGGATATTCCAGAGGGTTTGTTCCTGGCCTGACTCTTCCGGATGCTGATGAGCCTCTCAGGCCTCTCCTCGTTCCTCACTCCGAGCTGGTTCCTGTTCTCTGCAGTAACACTGCACATTTGGTGTTTGGTAACAGGAGCTCTCCCGAGTGTCCACGGCGGAGAAACTTAATTCTTGACACAAGTCCATGAAACTAACCTTTCTTTCTCTCTCTCTCTCTCTTTTTTTTTTTTTTTTTTAACCTGGAAAATGATGGTATTAGAGCCAGAGTCATGTACAAAACACAACACGTGAAATGACTGGGGAATCGTAAATTGGGCGTTTTGACTTGAACAAAATCTAAGCATTGTCATACCAATCTGATTATTATTTTAAAATACTATCCCAGGCTATAACTGTCTTTGTGTACAATAGCAATACAGGGTGTAGTTACAGACACAATTTCCTGTGCTTAGGGTTTGCAATTATTATTTAAGACCACTGTAACATTTGCCCGGAGCACCAGCGCAATTCCTCTATTAGATAATTTTCTATCCTTGTGAGGGCAGTTTTGCTTGTGCAGTGCTGCCAGGGCTTTCAGGAAGGGATAGACAAGCAATTGTGACAATAAAATTTGCACCAGCTCCCACCCAGCCTCTCCCAGAACTGAAACACCATTTGTGGCATTCAAAGCCTTTTCACACCAGAAGGGAAGGTGTTTCTGAGCTGGGAAGTCACTTTGATCTCCACAGGGTTGCATCCTTCTGCTTCTCAGATTCCCATGAGAAACACCAAGCAGCAATCGTGGAGTTCCAGTTGGCTCTGCATCAAAGACTTGGTGCACTGCAGCACCCAGCACCCAGGCAGGAAACTCCAAATCAATCCAGATTAAGTCACAGGGCTCAAAATTTGAAGCAGAAATTTTGGTTGGGCTTTAAGGGCTGAAAAGGATGTGTTGTTCCTGGGTGTGTAAAGAGAGAGAGAGAGAGGATAATAATGAAAATATTTAAAATAAATAGATTTGCAAGAAGAAAAAAGCAGAGACTGTGAGACATGGGTAGGATGTCACTGCTGGTCAGTCAGAAAAGATGCTGCTACTGCTTCGGACTGGCCAAAATCAATGCAAATGAATCATGGGGGAAAAGTCAGTTCCTAGGGCCATGTGAATACCTAGTGATGAAACTTTTGAAAACACCTTCAACAGCCTAAAAATCTCTGCCTGAACTGCTCACAACCTCTGCTTTGCTGCTTCAGGACACCAGGATCAGGTGCTGGGATTCTCCCACATAAAATTACTGTTTTGCTCCTCTGAATGAAGGACAAACAAGCCTGACTGTGCACAACCTTTCATTTGCTTCTTGGGATGAAGATGCTTGTGCATGTACCTGAATCTCTAAAGGACACAGCTGATGCTGCTGAGCTCAGCAGCCCCTCTCACCCAAAGCCCTCCCAGCCTGTCCAGTTAGGCGGTGCTCAGGGGACCACGGTGTGCCTGAAGCTTTGCTGTGCCAGGGTCACATCCAGGGTCACTGCAGTGTGTCTGTCCCTGCACACAGGCTGGGTAAAGCCCAGGTGCCCACAATTAGCAAGGCAGAGGGTGATCCAGGAACTCCAGGAACACATAGGCTGTGTCCTTGCCTATGCACTGCAAAATTCAAAGAGAGCAGAGATAAGGAAAGGGAAATCATCTCTAGTAGCAGCAGAGCAATTCTTTCTCACTCCTATTTACCCTTCCTGAAAAAAAACTGCTCCAAATCCCCCATCAACTCCATTCCACTGAGTTTGGCTTTTCTTTTCTGACTTAGATCCAAGCCTCACCTTGTACCTGTACCTTCCTGTCTGAGCAAGCTCAGCTGTATCACAGTGATGGCCAAAGGAGGACCCATGGGTGGGAAAGGCTTCTGGAGAGGGCAGTGGGCAGCTCCTGCTCTGGGCTCAGCCTAGGGAGCCAAGCTGCCACACACTTGATGGAAATCACTGCATCTCTGCAGCCCCTGCGGTTCTCTCCTCAGCAGCCCCCAAAATTCCACTGACAAAAAAAGAAATGGGGAGGGGAGAGAAGGAGTCAGAAAAACTATTGTGTTCCTAGGGAGGGAAAAGGATGAACAGCTCTATTTAGCTTCTCCAGCTTTGCTGATGTCAATCACTTCTCTCATTTTAAACAGGAAAGGCACCACTTTAGTCCACCTGTTCCATTATTTATCATGCTATGTGTTTCCCATGAATTGTCACTCATGCAAAACCTGTACATCGTAAGGGGACACCCTAATATTTTTAATGACCTTAAGCAAAGTGATTGACACTAGACACCGGTGTCAGATGTTCTGGTGACGCAACATGTTCTCCTAGCAGCAGGAAAGCTTCCTGCCGTGATTAACTGAGGGCTATGGAAGTGCTAAAATGTGTTGTCAGCTTTCCTCTGATGCAAGTGATTTTATTATAGCGTCTGGTAACCATGGAGTGTGGCAACGCAAATACTGACCCCAAACATCCCCTCCTGCACATATAGCTCACTCTATTTAAAACACAAGGTGCAGCTTGCAAATCCAGGGATAAGTTATGGATGTAACAAGCTTAAAGCATGGAGGGCAGAGGAAATGGTGGCACCTAGGCCAGAATTCCTGGTGGTTTCAGCAGGAGAAGTATAGGGATCCAGGATGATGTGCAGAAGGAACCCCTTGCAGCACCTCTTTGGCAGGTGGGCTCTGCAGCAGCATCACCAAAACTGTCCTGGCTGCCAGAGGCTCTGAGGGCACAGAGAAGGCACAGGCCTGTCTCACCTTGGTAGTGGAAAGCAAAAATCACACCCAGCCCTTCTGAGTCTGGAGAAAGTAAGGAGGAAATTAAAAGAGAGGAAAAACAGAAAGAGGGCTCCATGCAGCCCCTCTGCCTTCTCATACACACCAGGGTGGAAACCTGTGACTCAGCTCAGCACCACTTGTCCTTCAAGAAGGAGAAATCATGTTCTGGTTTGCTTCAATTTGGGACAAACCTGTCAACAATCCATTAACTGAGAAAAGCTGGAAGACCTCTACAACACAAGAGTTGCAGAATCAACACCTCAGCCACAAGTAGGGGACACCTGGCACCTGCTTTTCATGAAGATTTGTAATCCCAAAGCTCAGTCAGCAAACACTACACATAGCTTTGCTTCCACAAGTTATTATTAATAGTTATGTCTCAAACTGACTGTGACAGTGAGTGTCTGCAGAACTGTCTGCTATGATTTTTCAATAACAGAGCTGTTAATCAAGCTGCAGAGGGTTGGACTATCAAACCAAAGTCCAGAGGCTGCAGAGGTTTCTGTAAGAGATCAGCAGTACATGTGTTCACAGTTATTGTCACGGGGGTTGTTCTACAAAAATAGAAATATAAAGTAGTCAGAGTTGAAGATACAAGCTATCTTGGCAGCAATAAAGAAATATTTTCTAAAGGTCCAGCAGCACTGGATATTATTTTAATGAAATTTATTTTTTAATTTTATAGCAAAATAATCAAAAGTGCTAAACCTGACCACTTAATTTACAAAAAAATTCTCATGTTTTAAGCTATGATCATACCTTGTTATTTAGGTTAAACAACATAATTACACATTTCTACTGATTTCTATTCAATACTGAAACAAAATCAATATTAGTTGGTTTAAAAAAGGGGGAAAGTACCACAGGTATTGGGAGGGGGAAGTTACATAAAATATAAGAATCAGCTTATTGAGAAAATTGCAATGTGTTCTTATTGCCTTTTTTTTTCCCAGCTACAGTTTAAGTCCCAGATATTCTGGCCATAAGCTTGTAGTCACTTCAAATGCTATGACTTCTCCCTTGGTCAAATGTCAGTGTTTTAAGGAGACCTCTGGCATTTCAAGTCAATTCAAATTATTTTCTCAGTTCCCACACGTTCCCTTTCCAACACGATCAGCATGTTGGAGAATGCAGTTAGGATGGTTGCAGTTATGTGACACAGTTTTCTGTGAAGGAAAAATGGGTTTTCCTCTGTCTTGAAAAGAATCACTACCAAGTCTGCACTAAGAAATATATTGAGAGCATTTGCAGAGTTGCTACAAGTATTTCTTAATCCGTTCCATTTCCATTTCAGTTCGTTTCCACAGTTAAATTAAAACCTGCAATCTCTCCTACTGATAAATAGCCAAGTTGACTTACAAAGGTTCTGCCTTCTGTCCAGCCTTCTCCTGGCTGCCTTTAGCCAAACAAGGTTCGCTGGTTCGCCACGAGCGCCGTCTGGCTCTCCCGCCTCTTTGCCTTCTTCTTGTGCTGCCTGATCTTCCAGCACACGGCGCTGGAAGCCAGCAGAACGAGTCCTGAGGACAAGAGGACCAGGCCAAAGACGGAGATGATGGAGCCATGGGAGTTGAAGATGTAGGCCACGGCGGTGACCACGGTGCCGGCGATGAGGATGACCACGCCGAAGGGAATGGTGCAGCGGTAGCAGGAGAGCTCGGCTCCCCCCGTGGCTGCCGTCAGCTGGCACTCGCTGACCAGAGGAATGGTGGTTATCACACAGTCATTGTTGTTGCTTTTCTCTGGGGGTACAGAATCAGGGAGCTTTGGGGTGCCCAGGATCTCTTTGATAGGCTCGTTTGTCATCTTGATTGTCTTGACTCGGCCCGTTCTTAGGCTAGAGCAGGCTCTGCTGAGTTCGTGCTGTGCTGTGGAGAGAAGAGCATGAGTTCAACCAATAATTACCAATTATGTATAAGACCAATTATATATAAGACAATAGTTACCGATTATATATAAGACACAGAAGTATCCCCTTGGGATCACAAGCAACCAGACATTCAGACCCCACAAGGATTTCTGCACAAGATCAACAGTGACACGACTGATTGTGAAGGACCTGAATCATTTCTTGTAGTACTCAACAATATGCATGTAAGTTCTGGAAATAACAGAGTCACACACCAAGACAGGCACCAGCATTGAAATGTTGTGGGCCAAATCCTACATTAAGTTACATCCTAAAGTCAGCATTTCTGGACATAATTTAGATTTCAATGGCATTACATTTTCTCACAAAGAGGTGAAGTTCACACACTGTTTTGATTTTTGCTCACACACTTTTCACACAGTTTCTTTCTACACCTACACACAATATATTACACAGATTTGCTCCACTGCACATCACAATAACACGGTCAAGTACTAGCCCAGCAAAAACCAAGATGAACAGTGAGCTCTTTCTCAGTGCAAGTGCTACTTAGGGAAAAAATTCAAATGGTCACAACAAGGTGTAGATGTGGGGGGAGTGGGGATGCAAACAGATTCCTGCACTCAGCTCAAGGCTGGTGAACTTCCAGTTACAGCAATATCCATGCCAGACTGACAGCTTGCCATTTACACTGGCTTCAAGCAAAAGCAACAGGTCTCTTGTAAATCCATGAAAATACATCCCTGTTACTTTGGGAGGTAGATTTACCATAATATTCACTCATCTCAGATAGAGCAGGTTGTTTTCCTCCTGTTTCCAGACTGTAAACACACTCTCAGTCCTGAAGGCATGCTCAGTTTGACTGCATCTGCACAGGACACAAACACCTTCTGGCTCTGGGCCCAGGGAATAATCAGGGCCCACCTGCTCAGAGCAAGAGCAGCCCACAGCTCTCCACCATTCCAGAGCTCAGCCTTGTCTCTGGGGCTCTGGGGACGTGGGGTGACTCTGGGGCCTGCAGTGAGCTCTGCCAACACCGAGGCTGCACACATGTGCTGTCCTGGCCCCAGCTCAGTGCACCCCAACACACACTCCAGACTGGGACACTGGGGAGCCACTGGGGAGCCCCTGGGGAGCCCCTGGCTGTCCTGCTGTAGCAGCTCCCAGCGCTCCTCCACCACCCTGGCGTGGGCTGTGCCTCTGTTGCTCTCATGAGCAGCACGATACGCAGCTCAGGGAACAAGGAAGAGCGTTGGCAATGCAGTAATGCTTTTATCACTTTTATCACCTTCACATCTGTGACTAGGAAGTTAATTGCCAGATACTAGTATTCTCCTTTTCCTTTCCCACCACTCCACCCTTGTTGCTAAGATATATTTGCTCATTGTGGAGAGCCCTTGGTTTTATGTCTCAGTACCTCCTATAACTGACTGTGGGTTTTAACAAGAAAGAGGATTTCACTCTTTTTTAAAAAAACACAAGCACAAACAGGCTAAATGCTGGATATAGAGTGTTTGCATACAAAGTCCCCTTGAACCCTCAAGAGAGAAAAAAAGCCCAGATCTGGTTTGCTAAAGCTTTTGTTGTACTGCTCTGGGAAGAGTGCTCAGCTCCCTGTTGTATCTGCTGTGCAGAGCTGCCTGTGGGCTCAGCCCTGCCAGAGGAGCCTGTCCTTGCTGGGCACACACAGTGACAGCCCAAGAGGCATCAGCACACACTGAAACACTCTGGTCATCAGGAAAAACTTTTACACTGTGAGGGTAACTGAGCACTGGAACCTAGTGAAGTTTTGGAGCCTACCCTCGAGATAATCCAAAGCCATCTGCACAGTCAGCATTGCCTCGGTGCTGAGCAATAGGGGGTCAGACAATATGACCCCCAGAAAACCCCTCTAACCACGACCATTCAATGATTCTGCCTGTTTCTGTGAGAGTACTCGGTATCTCCAAGGTTATATCTGTATCTCCAATGTTATATCTGTGCTGACACCTCAGATATCCTAAATTCTCCTACGTTCGGTAGCTGTGTTCTTTGAGTCACAATTCATGGTTAAATGCCTTTTAAATCAGACAGAAAGAGCCCAAGATAGCCATGGGTTTGCTCTTGAGTGTCATTAATCTGTTCCCATGTGGATCTCAGCCCAAGTTCTGCATTTTCAATAATGATTGACACAGCAGAGAGACGTACACTGGTGCCATTATGTTGCTGCATTGCTTATCCATAAAACATTACAGAAGTTCAGCATAACATAAGAATGTGGTCCCTAAATGTCACCTTTTTTAATATTACCATTCAATTAGTATAACATTTTATTATCAAACTTGAGGGAGAAAAATGTAAATATTTTGCATATAAAAGGTCTATTGGCTCAAATACACTGTAATAACTATTCAAAAGTCCAAGAACTCTAACAGTCACTGAATTAGGGAACTGCCAAATAACTTGAAAAAGCCCATAATATGCATTATTATTCTGAAAAATTTTAACCTCTAATCAAAATGTATTTACTTCTGTCTCTAAAGTCGTTGTCCCTCTGCTTCAGCTGCATCTTCAATGAGCATTAAATTCTCCTAGACCTCCTGTACAGAGATTTGTGAAGAAAGGAGATATATTTATATAGTTACATTTATCAGGAATAAAAAAAAAATTCTAACCTATAATAATTAAGTCAATGGCAAAATATCTGTTGATTTCTGAGGAGCACGGTTTTTTCTGGAATAGGATGCAAGAAGGCAGGCATTCATATAAAACAAATAAACAACCCCCTACTGAAATACTATTAAATTAAATAAACAACAGAACCTATTTGAAGTGTGAGCAAAGGTATCTAGCCCTAGAAAAAAGGGCGCTGGATCCTCATTGCCAGCAAAGTCACTTCTGACTTAAGCCAACAGGTGATTTGGTTCAAGTTTCAGGGTAAGAAATTTAGGCAAAGACACCCAGCAACACCAGCATCCTCTCACTAATCACACTACGAGTACTATCTTAAGGAGCTGCTTTGAGGTGGAGGAAGAATGTGCTTCTGTGGCAATCTGTGGCTAACCCTGGGTAAAGGGGAGAGAAATATTTCAGGCACTTATAAGAGTAAATTTAGATTTATCAAAAAGACATTAAATCCATCAGCATGCACACCTACCAGATCCAGGAGAAATCCATGGTCAAAGAGTGATGAAGATGTCTGGTGTGACAATTCAAGGCAGAAAGAGCTGCTCGAGTCTTTGAAGTGTCAGAAATTGCTGAATGATGAACTGGAGGTGCCAATATTTAGCATGGAAGTTTCCTACAAGAGAAGTTGTTGGATATTTTTCAGCTTCTTAACAATAAAAGCCTTGAGTGTAAAGCGTCTGCTGTGGGCTGACTCCTGCTCCTAACCCAACCAAAGCAGGAGATGTTCTCCCTCTGGCTCTCGTCGTGGCCTCTGCCTCTTTTATTGGAAGCATCCACCCATTTCTGGCACAATGTAACATTTTCCTTTGATGCTGTGACGTCCCAGTGGTATCATAACCAGTCAAGTGCCCCAGAAAGAGCCATGCAGGAAAAGGCAATGCACAAGAAATATTGTAGATAAAAATCTTATTTAACTTAATTTCTATTGCTCACGTCACCTGTGTGAATAATGATTCAGAATACATGGGAGTTTGTCTCTTCTATGAGTCCAATTTCTTTGAGCAAATCACTACATCTCCCTGCTCCTCAGACTTCCTAGCTGTGAACTAGGAACACACTTAACACTAAAAAAACCTGTTAGATCTCTTCCACTATAGGAAAACTAAGTAACATAATCCCAAAAACTCAGAATAAAAAAAGGCAGATTTACACAGTCCAAGAACTCTCTGTAATAAACACAAGTCCGCTGTATTTACTATTGTTCATTTCTGTTCCTGGATTTTTAAAAACAAGATTCGTAACTCCAAGAGGGACAAGGAGGACTCTGCAGTAGGGCAGTGACAACTCTGCAGAGAGCAGAGCGATGGAAATTGTTATCAACTGCAGAAACAGCTGTGAAGTTACCAGGCTGCTGGGTAAAACTCACAAGGCAGCAGATTTATGTTGCTAATCTTATTCTTTATTAATCTTACACCCTTTCTAGAAGTGCACGATCACGGGAGATGATTTCAACATGGAAACAGGAGTCCAAAGTGGGGATGAGAGTAAATTCACGAGAATAAGTTTGTGTAACATTAAACTTTAAGGGTTTTTCTGTTTTTAAGTTATTTAGACCCTGCTAACATTTTACAAACACAAACTTTTACAGGCACAAACTGCTGCTGTTCTCCAGAAGATCCTTGGAATAAGCCTGTGACATTGCCAAAGTATAAATAGCTGATTATTGAAGTTAGCTAATAATAAGGAAGTTTACTTGTTTATCTCATTGATTATATTCTTTTCCACAGGACCTAGCAATTAGTTTAACTTTCTGAAAAGTTTGGAGGGAATACAAGAAAAAAAATCCTGACTTCAGATAAATAATCTAGATTTCATTACAACAAATGCAGACCTCTGAAACGTTCTTGCAATCAACTTCTACTTGGATTACAGCAAGGTTACATTTGTTTGAAAGCTCTTCCCAGCACGATTGTGCCCCCTAAGCCACTCTGACAGCATCTTCCTCGAAAAAAGTTATTTGCTTGTCAGTTATTTATTTGTATTTATCCCAGACTGCACACAGTTTAGATATTTTTATTTTAAATTAATGTCTTTATAAAAAATTCTGACAGAGCAACTTCTTAGAGATGAAATTTCTTCCCTTCTCCTTCCCCCTCTCACCACAAAACTGAGAAACAGAAACAGATGAAATCTCTACATGAAGCTCCCAGCGTTTTAACTCGGAATCATTTCAATGCAGCGCTCTCTCAGGAGGCTCCTACATATGGAGTATCTCTGGGCAAGGGCAAAGAGCCACTACAACCCTTTCCTCTTTTTCATATTTTACTTATAACCAGTGGGACACATTTGAGTTTTCTACCTTCAAGCTCTGGACCAGGTTCTCTCTATCTTACAACACTTCAGGCACCTTTTTTTGCTTATGTAAAATCCCAAAAAATCATAATGCTCACACTTCACACCATGGCTATGCATTAAAGTGACTATGGAAAGTCGCCTAAGGAGTCCCTCTGTCCCGAGAGGAGAGCCTGAGTTCATTCAGAATTCAACAGACCACAGTGATCCTCAACACAACCCCGCAGCTCTGCCCAGGTGAACGCTCCTGGAAATACACAGCCAGAATTGGTACTTACAAGACTCCGGGACCATGCCCTGAGCAACAGAGGCAGCAGAAGAATACACTGCCTCCAAACCAGCTGCCTCAGGATGCAGCAAGTTTCTCCCACCACGTTTTTAAGTAAAATCATGAACAGATTTAAATTCTCGCACCTTTTTCGTTTTCCCGGCATAGCCGGGGTGTAGGATGGGAGCCAACCCAGCCCCTACACAAACCAACTCTCTTATGTCCCAGTTGCAAAACTTTCGAACGCGCCTGCTGCACGCCACACACATACCTGGGCTAAAATCCTCCTGTCCCCGAGCACCTCTGCAAGAGGGCAGAGAGGCGAGCAGGCGGGGAAAGCCCTGTGCCCGTACAGCCCTGCGGAACCGGGGGACACCGACCCGCACCGGGAG